CTGATGAACCTTGCCCCTGGGCAGCCACCCTTCATAAACTTTTGCACAATGCCCCACTCCCTCACTGCACTACTGCAATGCCTGCAGGGGCAGTACTTCCTTCCTTGTACTGCACATGTGGGCAGCCTCCTCCTTAGCTCCCTCGCTGCACCATGTCATGGACTCCCTAGTGCTGTGGGCTGCACCACCCTGCCCACTGGGGCAGGAGCAGGCTTGAGGGAGTGAGGGACAGGAACTCTAAAGACCTCAATTGCAGCAGCAGCCAGGTAGGAACCCAAGGGCAGTACATTAATCACTTGCAGGCTGCATGTAGCTTATATCTATCTATATTTATATCTATATATAGCTATATACATAGCTATATATAGATCTCTCTCTCTCATATATATATCATTTCATTTCAAAGGCCAAATCAGTTCCAGTTGGGCAAAGCCCAATAGTCAAGTTCCAAAATTTGACTAAGCAGAGCTCAATCATCATGTCTGTGTGGCTCTACCACTGGGCAAATATTCTCCCTCTCAGACCCATTTGTCTGAGGCTCTGGTTACTCCCTAAACCCATTCTACATACAAGTCCCAGGCCCAGAAGCCTTGGGGTTCAGATGCGACGTCTTGCGAGATCTTAGCCAAAAGCCTGAGGGTTGCACGCAGCTTATGGGCCACCACCTGAACAGCCCCATTGTACCCCAAGGATTACCCCTAAATAACACTGCTAAAGATTGTTAAGTCTTAGGGAGGAGTCATCCTTTAGAGCCGCAGCCAGCAACCTTTTCAGGTTGTAGGCTGAAATGACGAAGCTTGGGTCAGAGGTGGGCAGGCAGGTGCTAGGATATGGCTGCTGCCACTGTTTCTTTTCTCCATGACAGCATGGGGAGAGTTCCCACAGCCACTCCTCCTTTCCTCCATGGTGGCAGAGGACAGAGACTGTCACTGAAGTATATTTGATTCATGAACCATATTTTGCTGACCCCTTGCTTTAGAGTGGTTGGAAACTTCTTACCACATGGTGGGTTCTACCACATACACACACACACGATTGTTTTGTACCACTAATCAAGGAAACAGGAAAGAAAATAGATGCCCATCTCCAAGGTGTGAACCTACATACTACTAATATCAGCAGGCTTTGAATGTTCATCTTTGTAAAGGTGGTTCTAGCTCTGCAAGTTCTGGCAATATAAAAAATACAATGAATCACCTTTAAAAAAGTCTGTGTGTTTAAGCTAAGACAGAACAGGGATCATTAGTGCTACTATAATTATAAAATTATAATATTTAGGAATATGCAACAACAATGGGTAAAGGCAGAATCTGCTTAACAGTCTTCCTGTTTATTCTGGTTATTAATATTTGCGGCTCTCACACCCAAACTTTAAGAGGTTCTGGACACACCAATTTTTTTTTTTCGCTGGCAAAAGCTGTATATGAACACCTTCATTTTCCCAAGGCTGTGCTACTTATCTCTTCAATAGCAACATTAGCAAAATAAGATTTCCATTATTACCTCTTAGGGTATAATATGAATCATATGATCTTCAGATAAGCACATATAACTTCAACAAAAAATAACAAAAGTTGATACCTGTATCTGAAGACAATTTGGCCATGATGGAACAACTGTCGTCTGTCCTGGCAGAACTCCAAAAAATGTTATCACAATAATCTAAGTAATTTGATGCCCCGATCACACTCAATTCCCCCTTCATACACTTACAAAAGCAACTAAACTAAAGCACGAAAATGGACAAAAGTACTGGAGTACTGCGTCCAGTTCTGGGCACCCCACTTCAAGAGGGATGTGGACAACATTGAGAGGGTCCAGAGGAGGGCCACCCGCATGATCTGGGGACAGCAGGGCAGACCCTACAATGAGAGGCTACGGGACCTGAACCTGTTCAGCCTTCACAAGAGAGGGCTGAGGGGGGACCTGGTGACCATCTATAAACTCACTAGGGGGGACCAGAAGGGTTTGGGGGAGACCTTGTTTCCCCAAGCACCCCCCGGGACAACAAGGAATAACGCCACAAGTTGTTGGAGAGTAGGTTCAGATTAGACATCCGTAAGAACTACTTCACAGTCAGGGTGGCTAGGATCTGGAACCAACTTCCAAGGGAAGTGGTGCTGGCTCCTACCCTGGGGGTCTTTAAGAAGCAGCTTGATGCCTACCTGGCTGGGGTCACTTGAGCCCAGTTTCCCTCCTGCCCAGGCAGGGGGGCGGGCTTGAAGATCTACAAGGTCCCTTCCGACCCTACTTCTACGATTCTATGAAAAGCAAATCTGAAACTTCATGCATTAGTCAATGCAAGGGAAATGCATATAAAACCTGAATGTATGTCAAGATATTCATTAACAGACCAAGTTTATTCTGTACTGAAACTATCTTTCCAGTCAAAAGAAATGCACACAGAGGTAATTAAAAGGAACAAGTAATTTGTTTGATGGTAAAAAGAATTCTCAGCTCCATTTCTGAGAGATCAGTGTTTTCTATGGTTCATAAAAACAGCTAAAACAATTCTTAGGTCAGATACTGTAAGAGCTCCCCCAGTTGCCCTCCAGAAGATCTACAGGAAAACATGTTCCATTATCTTTGCATCTTCATCATCTGGCAAAATCTCAACCACTCCTTCCTGTGAAGTGAGGATGGAGATAATTTCCTTAGACAATTGTTCATGCTTATTCTCTGCACATGTATCTGCAATCTTCTTCCAGCCTTCCACAGTACAGACGGTATCATTTAGTATAATTTGTTCCAAAGCATCTGATAAAAAAATAATATAGTTGCACAATATTTTTCCTAATAATTTTATGCACTGATGTTAAACATAGCACAAGAAGATGCATCTCTCATGGGGGATACAACTACAAATTGATTGTTCTTGGTCTCTTCCCAGTTGGATAATTCTAAGGACCAACAAAAGAAACCAAGAACGTGGTTCCTAAACTTTTTACACTCACAAAATACTGTCAACTCTAAAAATTTCTCAGGGTCCACCATGCAACCTTATCATCAAATATTTTTATTCGTTTTGGTGTTACTTGCAATTTAATTGCTTTGTTATTGCCCAGCTGGCAATAACAAATGATATATCAAGAAACATTAAATAGATAACAATAAATATCTATATATTTACATAACTTCACAATAACTGTTTGTAAATAACATCTTACTGTACTTACTCTTCTCACTCATTTCTTCCAACAGATGTAAGCCATGTTGCTTGTGAGCAGTAGAGATGAGTGAGAGGACTATAGCCCCAATGGATAAAGATGCTGGTTTCCTATTCCATTCTTCAGTTAGACAGCAAATTAGCTCAATACTAGCACAGTTTGTCAATAGGAATATGTAATCATCTAAAAATCAAACATCAAAACATTATTACTTGAATATATTCACACATGATATATGACCATGGCCCAGATTCTGATCTCACTAAAACACTCTGAAGCAGCAATGTCAAAGATCTGGGCCACAGTGCTGCCTGTGGGTCTTGGAGCAATAGCACATGGGGTCAGTTCGGGGCATGCACTGAATCCAGTGCACATCTGGATCAGGCCCACAAACCAACCCCATGCCACTCTTCTAGCCCACAGGGACAGATAAGCTTGACACCCCTCCTCTAGAGAAACTCCCGTGAAATCAAGGTAAGCCCTAGCATTAGTTTTCTAGGGAAAAAAAAAAAAGAAGATAAACGTCAGAGTAACTTCACAGATGATAAATTGTAGAGTGCTGTTGCAAATACCAAAGAGGATAGGGAAATAATTAAATTATAAACCTTGTGGTTATTGAAGCCTTGGGTAAGAAATAAAATGAGACAAACATGCAACCTAACAGAACCAAGTAATATTAACGTGAAAAAGGATTTTAAATGGGAAAGAGATACTTGAAAGGCTAAGCCTAAGGGGACGTAGGGAAGAACAGAAAGCAAAACTGATTTAACTTTGCACTGTAATACGGCCACAAAAAGAAGCTAATATGACTTTGGTCTGTTTATATGGAGATGTCACATCCCAGATCAGAGAAGTGATAGCCATTTTCCATAGGGCACTGGTGAGACTGCACATTTATAAGAATGCTGCAGAAGCACCACACTAGCAGGTGGAGGCTGACATACTGAAAAGATTTACTGTGATTTACAGAAAAATGATTGATTGAATAAAGGAAACAAAAATATATGAGCTAAGTAGCACAACCCTGCAATATACTACAGCTAGCTCTTCAGTGCCTACTGTATTTCCTGCTGCACGAGGCCCTAAATTTGTATCCTTTGGCTACATGACTAGACAGGTCATGAATATTTTGAAAGGAAAGAACTACAGGAGAAATCCTGGCCCCACTTAAATTACTGGCAAAGCTTCTATGGATTTCAGCAGAGTTAGCATTTCATCCTCAAGGGAAGGAGGAACTGGTTAATGTGAGGACTCCAAAAGGTAAAATGCTGCCTTTTCCATGAGTGCATCTGCATGCAAATGTTAAAAATAGCAACTACAAATCGAAATGGCTGTGCTTTCCCTTTTCAACAAATGGTACTTTCATAGTAGTGAAGCAACAGTAGAACCCAGATTTTTTGCATGGTCCACAACAGGTTGTTAAAATAAGACCAACCTGCTCAGCTGCTTACTGTGGCTTTTACTTCAATGGGCACCACTTCTCCAATCAGCACTTCTCTTGGAGCACAGCTCTGCCCTATGTAACTTATTAGAGAAGCAGTATCATTTGGAATAAACTCTGCAGCAGAAAGCTAGAATGCTTCTGTGGTCCTGTACAACTGTTTGCTGTGCCTACATATACCCCCCTACCTAGATCACAAACTCGCATTTTCTCAGGGGTGTAAGGAACATAAAATTGCAATTTCTACTATACAAGGAGATGTGGTTATATGAGAAAGCAGAAATACATTAGATGAAATCTAAACCCCAAATGAACACAATTACAACAGACCTAGGATTTCACACCAGCAGACCTGGGGTCATGGCTGTCTAGCTATGTGTTCAAATGTACTCTCTATCATAACTCATAGTCAAACTAAAATCCAATATTTTGGTGTTGATCCAACTACTTAGGCACATGCAATGAGTAAAAGCACATGTCTAAACAGCGCAGGATCAGGACCTTAAAACAGAGATATCATAATGTATATATTACAGAAACACTCATGTACACAAACACAAGTTGTGAAGCATGCCAAAGAGAGATAGAAAGAGGATTTTTTATACAAATGCGTGAACAACAGATAGCTGATAAATCAAAAAAATAATATTAAGAGGGTAAGTAAATTCAGTCACACCTAACTTGGCAATAGTCTTTTACTCCCACTGAGCCAAACTTCAATTCCTACAATGTCTAAGCAATAATACTTCACAAAAATATGCAGAGAACTCTATGTGGCTGCCTGTAAAAAACTAGATGGAAACCGTGACAGTTGGTTGGAAAAACAAATATTGTGTAGTTTTTACAATGACCTTGAGGTTGTAGTCCTGCTAAGAAACAGCAAAGATAGATGCAGTCAGACAGCCCCTTAAACACAATTCTTATGAAGAAAGCAGAATCTAATGCACTGGTGGACAGAAAACATTAGGGGAATTTTCACATCAAAGGGAGGGCATTCTGTCACTACTTTTTATGTTAAGATCATTATGTACAGAATTAGATTTTTCACATGAATGCATTAATGCTTGCTTTAAAAATTCAATGCAAAAAGTTACCAGAAGGATTTTTTTTTACCTGAACAAGATGTTCACCGAATCAATGATGAAAGACAATGTAAGACATATTCTGATATTTACCTGAAGAAAAGGATTTCAATTGCTTTATATAATCCATTGCTCCACAAATCTGGCCCTGTTTACACAGACACAGAGCAGCTTTCTTGTGTATATTGCACTGACTATAGACAATCTGAGCCAACGCCAGGCATGTGGACTTGCTGTACGGCTCAACCTCCCCATAGTCATAAATCACATCTCCTATTGCTTCAGAGAATGTCAGCCTGAAGGAAACAAGGTAGTAAAACAAACTAGTGTTACAAGTGAGTTTTCATAATTTGGAGTACAGGATTCCCTCACCAGCAATGGGCCATGGCGAGGGATCGAGAACACCTGGTATACAGAATATTAAGCGTGGATGCTCAAAACCGTGGTTGGCAAAGCTGTAGTTAATGAGGGAAAACTGTACTTCAGAATCAACCACAATACAACTATGTTTTGTAGGTATCTTAAGGTACCAGACTAACTTTCCCTTCAAACCTTTGCTCTCCCGCCCCATCTTCTACAACGTTCCTAGCCTGATGCCAAAGCAGAGGGGATTTCTCCTTCTTTTCCATACTGTCTGAGTGCACAAGAAAGTCCCATCAGTACCTAGTGCTGTCTCAGTTCTTGGAAGTTGGGACTATATCCCTTGCAACACTCCTGGATGCATGAAATCCCAGATGAGTTTCTAGGATGCATGAGGAAGGAGGAAATGTATATGTACAATGTCCAAACTGTGACATATGGGAAGTCAGGAAAAGAGGCTGTTATTTTTGGGATGGAAGCCAGATGAATGGGGCTGGACCTCTTTCTTTAGGAAATTCAGCTAGATGAGTGCATGTTTAATGAGGATGGTATATAAGAACCGGACAACATTCAGAATAGTTGGCTAGGGGAACTGTGTGGAATTGGACCAACTTCAGTCCAGGGAGAACAGTTGGAGATTTTTGCTGCCAGCCTCATAACTAACTCAAATGAGCATATAAATAGAGCAGTTTTCAGAAGCTTCTAACTTGGCCAAATCTGGATGAAATGTCACAAGGATCAAAAAAGGCACTTCCTTGGCCAAGGAATATCAAATATCAACCATCTACTCCAGAGGACAGAAACACTTCAAAGGCTCCATGGTGAAAATAACTGTTCAATACTGGCAAAAAAAACCCCCTTTTCCATATCATTTTTTAAAGAAATAAATGGCTTTTAATTAAACTTTCTGTAGGAAATCATTTTGCAGAAGACAGTTGACATGAAAAATTTCAGCCCAAACAGTTAAAAATTTGAAAAGTTATAAGCAACATATTATAGGGACTTAGAATGGAAAGTGTTGAGCAAGTTGAACTTAAACATTGGTACCAACTTTGTTTACAAACCAAATGATTATAATATTTGTAAAGTGCCATTTTAAAATCATGGTACGAACTGTAATTATGTCAGATACATCATTTTTAACCTTGTTGTTTTGGCACAAGGACCCAGGTTTTCTATCCACCTACGCATATAAGGTATGCCATGTTTCAGTATGATACCACCACTTGCAGCATCTTATTGTTTTATTAATTTCCCTGATTCCAGTGCACTAATAAAACACTTAAAAAGCTATTTTAGAAAGGCTGTTGCAAATGGTGGCAAAAGGAGAGATAAGGAAATATTGCTTGGAGTCAGTCAAATCTAAATCAGCCAAGTCTAAATCAGTAGATTTAGAATCCAGGTTCAACAGCCAAAACACAAGCTAGGCTTTGAGAATTACTGCTATGGTTTTCACATCACTTCAAGCCCAGGTGCCAGAATTATAATTAAGACTAATGCCAAGCTGAATGCCAAGTTTGTTTCATGGGATTTCTACCACCTTGAGACCAATCTGAATTGGACCTAGAATATGGGTCCCTTCCAGTTTGGGATCTGACTCATAAAGCTAAATTGCAAAGGCAAATCTGGTTCGGGAGATTCAAATCTGAATGCATCCTGATTCTCATAAATAAAATGCAGGGATTGGGGGCCACATGCGAGTTAACAGTTCAGGCCTCTCTCATAATTCTACTTAATACTGTGGATGATATTAATATTATCATTGACAGTACAACAAAAGTTATGGCTTTCCAATAACTGCTGACTTCTAATTTCTTTAAAAGGTATCAGACCAAACGTATCTTTTTAAAAAAAGGTATTAGACCATATTTGAAAATCTTTTTATGTACATTTTTACTGAAGTGGAAGAGAGAAAGGATATGGAACAAATTTGTGCTCTAGAATGATCTAACAAAATTGACAGCAACTTAAAAGAAACACTATATTTGCAAAAATAGCTGTCTGTACCTTTCATTTGTCTTAGTTTATACTCACAGTGAATTTAAGCTGGATTTAACAAATGGCATCAAAGAAAGGTATCTGCTCATTTAACACTATCTGCATGGGTCTAATTTACAAAAAAAGGAGGAGGAGATTCACTATAGGTAGGGCCTGACTGCTTATGAAAAAGCACAAATACAAACTTTCACAAAGGGAGGGCACATACCCCTATAATTCAAAGAGCCCCACAATCCCACTTACCTTTGCTGTGTGACCCAGTGTATAACTAAATTTAACTGTTTCTCAGACAGTGCACATTTGATTGCTTCCAGAGTCATAGCTGCATTCAGAGGGTGTTTAACTGCAGTACTTGAGTTTATAAGAGCCTCAAAATATTTCAGCAAAGGAAGAATCTTCCCTTTAATAAAACCAAGTGCTAAGGGAAGAAAAGGAAAGCCACTGATCAAAACACTTAGGAAAACAGCACTTTTACTATATTAAAATTTTTAAATTTCATTTGGCTTTGCTAATGTTCCCAAATTCCCTGGTGCCCAACCTTTTTGCCCTGCAGGCAGTGATGCCTGGTCCATCTGCAGGTCAGATCTGGCCGATGGGCTTGATTTGGTAAACAGGACAGGAGCAGAGGGACCTAGGGGACAACCCAGCCCTGATCCAGCTGCGTGGGGGAAAGGCGTGTGACCCAGCCCCAACCCAGGTGGGCTTGGGATTTGGTAGCAGGGGAGGCATAACAGTATTAACTGTCACTGCTTTCCCACAGAGAAGTTTCCCAACTCATGAGGAGCCCTGCAGGCAGGATGCTATGGCTCCACAGTTTGGATTTGACCCATGGGCCAGGGGTTGAACATCCGTGCCCTGGACAAATTCTCACTAAGGTTCAAGGTGCAGTGCCCCCTTAGCTGCCTTCCCAGTCATTGAGAGCCCAGACTGCCCTGTAGCAGAAAGGCTGAGTTCAGAGTATTGGGTCTCATCTGTAAACCACTAAAAAGCACATTTAAAAAACATGTGTATTTAAACCAGGCAGTTCACAGTGATGCTGACGGGAGTAAGACTGAAACTCCTGCACATCACTTTGAAAATACACCCCCTGTATTTTCAGAGGTGGCTGCCGTTGTGGGCTGGGCTTTGCATCCTGAGCCTCGCTGCAGCTGACCCAGGAGCAGCTCGACACCATGTGCATCCCGCCACTGGGCTGGAAAGTGGGATGCATGTGGTGGTGAGCTTCTCCCAAGCCAGCTGCAGCAGGGCTTGGGGTGCAAAGCCTAGACCACAACAGCAGCTGCCTCCGCCATGCACAGATGCGGGGGGGATGGAGGGGGGACGACATATGCCCCCCCCGGGGCCTCTAGGGTACACACAGTGGCAGGAGCCTCCCGTACGCCTGGACCAGCTTCCCAGGCTCGATCCTCCCACCACTCGCCTGGCCGGGGCCCGTCTCCTTACCCCTGCTCCTGCCTCACTCTGTCCCTCACTATGGAGGCCTCAATCTGGCCCCTGCCCCTTCCTTCTCCCACGGACTGACCTGCTGGGCTGGCATTGTGGGGGGGTGCATATGTACATGCACGCTCAACCCCCTCAGCCTCAGATCAACTGCAAGAGGCTCCATGATCGATCGACCAGTTGGTGACCACTGCTCTAGTTCTTGCCAGGAGCAACACAGCAACAGCTTCAACCACTGACATTAGCAATCATACCACAATATTTTATGTTGCCAATTCAAAGGAAATAATTGTAGGGGGGCAGGGGAGGCAAGACTAACAATATCCCAAAGAGTGTATTTCTGTTGTTTTGTGCGCTTAAGCATTCTTATTAGACTAAAAATTAGATATATTTTAGATCTGAATGTCTAAATGAATGGAATGAAATATTGCGAGATGGTTTCAGCTAACTACCTGGGATAAGCAGTAGGGACCAAACTTTCAAAGTGCGGTTTGCATGCATCTAATTCATGAGTGGAAATAAGATAGCTTCAGGCTAGCTCTATAATCAGAGAGAGAGACAACATTCATCCTAAGCCACATTTAGACCTCCCCAGATCCTCAGCCTATTTCTCTGGACAAGCACAGAAAAGGTAGAGGAAGTAGCAGCAAGTCAGCCACGCTGCCACTACACAAGGGCAATCCAGCAAACTAATCCCTTTTCATTGCCTGAGTGCAAAGTGGCCAAACAAGAGATAAAAAGACTGAGCCCCATAGGCTCTTTGGTTTTGGAAATGTTACAAGTAAACCCCACAGTAATTCATGTTTGCTCTCTCAAGGTATCTTTTAACATGAATTAGAGTGCCAGATTCCTAAATGGCATGAAACAGTGCTATTAAAATCAATGGACTAATACTGATTTTTATAGGCTGAGAGTCTGTCCAGGACTTTTTTCAGCTTAAGTCCATACCTTTAAATTTCAACAGGGTTTCTTCATTGTGAAGGATTCCTCTAGGGCAGTTTGCTGCATAAAGTGCTGCAGCCTCATACTGACCACTTGAAAATAATTCATTGAACCTGGGGGAGGGGAGACAAAAGAAAAGACAATGTAATGTGGCATTGGAACAAAAATAAAAAAGAATGACTGGCTGGTTTCTGATCTAAGCTGCTTATGGTGGGTTTATACACCAACAAGAAAGTGGATGACATACCTGATGGTGGGCTCATCCAGCAAGCTCATCAGCTGGCTGTCTATTTGTGACAGAAGTTTACATTCTGCTCAGCAGAGGCAAGGGTTTTGCTGCTGCTGCTGCAGGGAACCTTTGAGTGCAGATGTACTCAAAGTTCTGCCAACAAAACCTTGTAGCAATCGGCAGTCTGCTTAGTCCACAGCACAGATGATGGGGGAGAAAGGTAGGTGCCAGACAAAGTGCAAGCAGCTACCTGATTTATTGCTTCTGCCAGGACTCTGAATTATAACGGAACCAAATTTAAGTAGGCACTAACAGAGAGGCACATGCTTATAGTACATTATTTCAGAATGAAATAGCATGCTGGCTTAATTCACATTAAGTAACACCTTTAGTATAAATGCAGACAGCAGGGCTAGGAGGTACCTTGTGGCACTGGCACACATTATAATAATGCATGATGAGATCTGATCCTTATCCCAATAATCAAACATCCTGCCATGCCACATCCCCCAAATGCACCATTATTTTAATGGGATCCTTGCAACCCAAATGTGGTTTGGAAGGTACTTGTCAGAGGAAGCCAAGGGGGTCCCCCAACCAGGGAGTTTAACCCTATGTGCCCAAGCAGTCCAGCCTAGCAGAGACTAGCTGGCACACTGACTGCCTTAACCCGCAGTTCTCACAGAAGCTGTGGGATGAAATTCTTTAAAGCACCAGGTCACAGCAAGCCTCAGAGCTTGCCCAGACCCAACACATTTTCTGCCTTGCTCTGTAGTGCTGCAGACTGCAATACTGTAAACTGTGTATATAGAACTGAATAAGGATCCGTGGTGTTTTTTTTTACCTTTCAATGTATTCAAGCAAATCTTCAGCCTCTTTACTCTTGCCCGGGTCATATTCAAATACATGAGAGATGCTAGAGACAGCAGAAGCTGGAATATAAAAAACTTCAGTGAAGGGTAAGTACATTATAATTTCACTAGATAAAATTAGCATAGAAGTTGCCAAAGTAGAACAAGCATGAATAGACTGTGATCCATAGAAACATATATTTTTAGAACATGAAGACTGAAACCTGTTGCATTAACAGGCAGGAATGGACATTATATATTAACCAACGATCTTTCCATTGTTTTAGGAGACTAAGACAGCTCTTCTTAGTGAACGCTCGGTTAGGAAACACTTCTAGTTACCCCAAGTAAATTCTAGGGCAGAATGTTCCTACCTATGTTTCCAACCTTATAATGTAGGTACTGGATTCTGTACCTAAGGGTCAAATTCGACATACTGAACCATTCTATATTTCCACCTGAAAATGAATGCAGCTACATAGAAGGTATGCAAAGGCAGAATTTGAACCTTAGCTCTGGGACAGGAGCAGAAACCACATTTAAACTCCCAGTAGCAGTGAAGCGCCAATATGTAAACAGATTCTGATCTCTATGAAACCCATGTACCTTCACTGAATTCATAGACTTCAGATCTATGAAGATGTTATGGAAGTAGAATTCAGCTCACAGTGTAAAAGCCCACTGGAAGGGTCAGAGTAAAGTGATAATGGAGGTCTGAAGATCTTGTTACATGATTTCAGTATAGTACAAAGTGCATCACTGCACTTTATTTCAGCTCAGAAAACCTTGATTGCTGTCACTCAGAGTGTGTTACTGCTCATAAAAGAGTTGAGCACTGCAGAAGACCAGTGGCAATTTGCTGGATAACATTTTAATGATTATTCATCATCTCTACTTTGGGATGAAAAAACCTGGATGTCTGGAATCATTAACAGCAAGAGACCTCTGTGAGCCCAGAACAGAAGGGACAGGAGAATGAGCAGCATGTGAGAGGAAGTGTTTATAAAACCTACCTCTGTGTTTATAAAGCCTACCCAGCCTCACCTTTACCTAAATAAAAGTAAAACACCTCAGTCCAAATTCATTCTTGTATAATTCTAGCAATGTTTTTCCCCCTATGTCTGTATCTTTGTTGTGGCCAAAAAACTTTTGTGCCTAAATGCCACACATACAGCAGCATGCAACAGGGAATGGGCATGTTTCTTAATGGATCTAAGCAGGAGTCCAATTCTAACCAAGGCCTTAAAAAAGTGACCTCATATCATGACGACTGGGACTTCCAAAGTTGGGCAACTTAGGGGGCAACTTAACTCCCACTGATTGTCACAGAACAGGGACACTAATTCCTTTCATCCCACTTGAAAATCCTAGTCTAGTTTTGGAAAATGAAAAGAGAATATGCCAGATTTACAGCTGACACAGGATGGTATAACCCCACTGAAGTCAATGGAAATATACCATTTACACCATCTGAGGTGTAAATGTTATATTTTATAACCCCATATTTTTTTTGTGATTGATAATATTTTATTTCAATTTCAATCATTTTACCTTCACCAACTTTCTCTTGTTCCATAACTTGAGAGAGAAGCTCTTGCAGCGAGGTGTTCTTGTCATATTTTGCCCAAGCAGAAACAGCATTTGCAACCAATGTAATTCTACTATAACTATAAGCAATTAAAGAAGGAACAGCACATTTCAGTAGACCAATGTACTCAGCCAGACCAGCACAGATCTCTGCAACCTTATGGTTGACTTCAAAGTCCATGACTTCAAGGACCTACAAACTCTACCCTGCATCACCCCACCAATATTCTTCTCATCTTAATCCCTCCTCCCTTGCTCTACTGAATTGCCTATCCATGCCTTTGGCATGAAAAAGACACCTCACCTTTTTCCTTACAACCCCACTGAAAATGCACTTCTTCCATATGCTTAGGATGGAGGTGCATTATGTTTATGTCATAATGAGCCAGATGCCAGCAAACTCTACTCTGGTTTTCAGATGCATTTTGGGAACCCATAATCCTGGAGCCAGTGAGTCTCTAGTATAATTTCAAGATTTCTAAGCGTTGTTCTCTATGATACCAGTTAGAGCAGCCCACTAAATGCCCATTTGCCATCTGAGAACCCCCTTTGTCAACCGCCATCCCCTCCATAAGAAAACCCCTGGCTGCACTCCTGTGCCAGCTCTACCCCTATTCTGCTGCTGCAATGCAATACAAAGTGAAGAGGACTGGGGACCAGGATGTGTCTGTCCCCTTGTGCCTGCTTTGCATTACTCATCTATTTAGATTATATGCTTTTTGGAGGAAGCAGCATCTTCCCTTGTATTCTACAAGACGACAAGTGCAATGCCAGAGATCGAATAATAGATGTACTGCAAATATTATTAACAATGTCAATATTAATAGATACTTATAACAATCTATTGAAGTGTTATCTATGGCCCCCCTGCCATGTTATATTTCTGGTAACCAATAAATATCAACTAGCTAGCCACAAATATGTTGAATTTACAGTTCCATAAAATGGCAAACAAGCCTTGAAAATATTACTCAAAAAAGTGGGGGCACCATGAGCCTGATATTGGGAAGGTTCTCCCCAGTGTCAGGCTCATGGTGCTCAGAAATATATATTTTTTAAAAACAGGCAGGCATTCAGTCAGGGCTACCGGGGCTGCTTTTTAAAGAGCTGCAGCATTGTGAGCCCAACATCAGGGAAAAACCCTCCGATACTGGGTTCACTGCACTGAGCAGTAAGCAAACTGAGCAGTAAGGAGAGAGCAGTGGCTCTATGAGTAACTCTGGGATAAGCAGCTGAGGTGTAGGACTGCCTTGAAGACGCTTTTCTCTGTGCTAGTGACTTGGGGGGGCAGATTGCTGTTAGTGTTTGCCTAGTACCTGGTGTGTGTTTGGGATTTTTTTCCTGTGGTGTGTGATTCCTTCCTTCCTCTCCTATTTCTCTTTGTTCCCTTCCTTCCTTAGATACAAATAAGGCGGCAAAGTACCCAACAGCTACTTTGCCTGACTCTTCACAAAACAATTAAGCTGCCAGACACCTAACAGAGATTATCTAGGTAAAGGGGGAAAGCTGAAGGAGGAGATAACAAAAGAGATGGTTAGACAGCTTTTGTTGAGTCTGAATGAATTCAAGTCAGCAGAGCCACATGAGCTTCATCCCAGGGTCCTGAAGGAACTGGCAGACATCTCGGAGCCCTTAGCAATGATCTTCATGAAGTCGGAAATAGGCCAAGTACCAGAGGACTGGAAAAGGGCCAGTGTAATGCCCCTCTTTTAAAAAAGGCAAGAAGGAGGACCCAGGGAACTACAGACCGGTTAGCCTCACCTCAATATCTGGAAATTATTGAAGCATATCCTAAGGAAGGCCATTTGCAAGCATCTGAAGGAGGAAAAGCTGATCAAAAGCAGCCAGCATGGATTTATGAAAAACAAACCGTGTCAAACCTGATCTTCTTCGCTGACAAAGTAACTACTTGGGTGGATGAAAGGCATACTGTGGCTATTGTGGATCTGGACTTCAGCAAGGTGAGAAGATCCCACATAATCTCTTGAGCAAGTTTGTGGATGTGAGCACATTGGATTGTGAACACATTGGAGTATATAAGTGCAATTCAGAAGGATCTTTGCAGATTAGAAAGCTGGGATGAAGTTAACAGGATGAAGTTCAATGCAGACAAATGCTAGACCTTGGGAAGAATAATCAAAAACACAAATACAAAATGGGTGACACCTGACTGGATGGCAGCACCATTTAAAAAGGACTTGGGAATCTTGGTAGACCACAGACTCAACATAAGCCTGCGGTGTGATACAGCCACACAAAAGGTGAATGTGGTTTTGGGCTGCATCAGAGCATGCAAGATGCATTAGGTGCAAGCCTCTTTATGTAGCAATAGTTAGGTCTCATCTGGAGTAGTGTGCGCAGTTCTGGGGTTCACATTTTAAAAAGGACTTGGACAAGTTAGAAAAGGCGCTGAGGTGGGCAAGAAAGATGATCAAGGGCTTGGAAGGCAAGTCCTACAAGGAGAGGCTGAAGGAGCTAGGCATATTCAGTTTGCGGGAAAAGCGCTTAAGGGGGAACATGATAGCAGTCTTCAAATACTTGAAAGGTTGTCATAAAGAGGGAAAGACCTTTTCTCTCTTGCTGCAGAGAGGACATGGGCCAATGGCTAGAAGTTGCCACAAAGTGAATAGTCAGATAAAACTTCTTCAGTGTGAGAATAGTAAGGCAGTGGAATAGGCTGCCTAAGGAAGTTGTGGACTCTTCATCACTGGAGGTGTTCAAGAAGAGGTTGGATAGCCCCTGGTCAGAGAGGATTTGGGCATAGCTATGCCTATTTTCCACCATGGGTATTTCCCATGCTTCTGCGCTTTGCTGGTTGTGTCCCCCGCCCCTTTCTGTTATATGTCAGGGTGTTTTTAAACCTCCCTCAGAGGCATTGGATGTTGGCTACAACTAGGGTTGTGGACTTCAAGTGGGGTGTGCCAATTCTGCTAGCAGCAAAGCCAGAGGATCCTGGCTACAGGATCTTGCCCCTCCACTTAAGGTCAGACCCACTGCCACACAGTATGACCTAGCCGGCTTAACCGAAACATGGTGGGATTCTACACATGACTGGGAGGTAGGCATTGAGGGGTACAAGTTGTATTGGTGAGAGAGTGGGAAAAAAAGGAAGGGGTGTAGCTCTCTATTTTAGGGAGCAGTACGCATCTTCCATCATCAAGGGGGGGGATAGAGGAGGGGAATACCGAGGCATTGTGGGTCAGGATCCAGGGGGGGCCAGGGGAACAGGACTTGGTAGTGAGGGTCTATCACAGACCTCCTCATCAGGACGATGAGCTAGATGAGGTATTCTTCAGGCAGCTCTCAGAGGCCATTCAGGCAAGGGAGGCAGTGATCATGGGGGGATCTAAATTACCCGGACATCTGCTGGGAGGAGCAGATGGCCAAAACAAACTGCTCACGTAGGTACTTAAACTGCATGCAGGACCTCCGCCTACCCTCCACCTAACCCAGGTGGTGTCCAGTCCCACCAGGGGTAGCACCTTGCTAGACCTGGTCTTAGCAACAGGGGATGATGTTGTGGGGAACCTGAGAGTACACAGTAACCTGGGAGATAGTGACCATCACTTTATAGAGTTCACTATCCAGCGAAGGGTGGGAAAAATATCCAGTGGGGCTAAAGTGTTAGACTTCAGAAGGGCCAACTTTAGTAAACTTAGAAGGCTAGTCAGTGAGGTGGCAGAACTCAAGAGCATCGAGCAAATGGGGGTCCAGGAGGGTTGGAGGTTTCTCATGGGAGTGATCCTTGGGGCACAAAAGGAGCCTATCCCCTTACGCAGGAAAGGGGGTAAGGGGATAAAAAAGCCCCCTTGGCTGAACAGGGAACTCCAGGAAAGACTGGGGGCAAAGAAGGAGATTTATAGGCAGTGGAAGCAGGGGGCAGCCACCAAGGAGTAATACACCTCCCTGGTGTGCTATTGCAGGGAATCAGTTAAGCAGACCAAGGCAGGACTGGAGCTTAGGCTGCCTACAACAATTAGACAATAAAAAGTCCTACAGATACATAGTAAGCAAAAGGAAGGTGCAGAGTAACATAGAGCCCCTGCAGGACAAATCAGGACAGTTGGTGGTTGACGCAAGGAAAATGGCAGAGCTCTTCAATGAGTTCTTTGCTTCAGTATTCCCAAGTATTGACCAAGACAATCCCCCCATCTTGAACATAGACAGATGTCCAAAAGACACCAGATCGCCAAAGGTTAGTGCTGACTTAGTTAAGAAGCACTTGGAAGGGCTGGATGGGTACAAGTCAGCAGGCCCAGATGACCTCCATCCACAAGTCCTGAAGGCACTGGCCAGTGTCATAGCTGAGCCGCTGGCACGGCTGTTTGATTACTCATGGTGCTCTGGCCAGGTCCCTGAGGATTGGAAAAGGACCAATGTGATGCCCATTTTTAAGAAGGGGAGAAGGGATGAGCCAGTGAACTTTAGACCAGTCAGCCTTACCTCTACCCTTGGGAAAATACTGGAAAAAAATCAAAGAGTGCATTTGTGAAGGCCCAGCAGGGGAAATGATGCTGAAACGAAACCAGCATGGGTTCATCACAGGTAGATCCTGCCTGACAAACCTTATAGCATTTTATGACCAGGTCACACACTGCCTTGACACAGGAGCTGAGGCTGATGTCATCTATCTGGATTTTAAGAAGGTCCCTCTTAAAAAGCCACCCTCTAAGTGGCTGAGAGGGATCCCGGAGTCATAGTTGACTCCAAGATGAACATGAGCTGGCAGTGTAACGAAGCCATCAACAAGGCCAATCGGACCCTGTCGTGCATTAGCAGATACATGACCAACAGATCGAGGGAGGTGATGTTGCCCCTCTATGCGGCATTGGTCAGGCCGCAGTTGGGAATACTGTGTCCAGTTTTGGGCACCTCACTTCAAGAGGGACACAGAATCTGAAGAGGGTTCAGAGGAGGGCCACTCACATGATTAGTGGCCTCCGTGCAAGACCCTACAAGGGGAGGTTGAGGGATCTGGATCTCTTCAGCCTTCACAAGAGACGTCTGAGGGGAGACCTTGTAGCCGCCTACAAGTTTATCAAGGTAGGACAACAGGGAATTGGAGATGCACTATTTACCAGAGAACCCCTAGGAGTAACTAGAAATAATGGATGCAAACTAATGGAGAGTAGATTCAGGTTAGACATTAGTAAGAATATTTTTATAATAAGGGTGGCCAGAATCTGGAATGGGCTTCCAAGAGAGGTGGTATTATCACCTAACTTGGTGGTGTTCAAGAGGAGGCTTGATAGACACCGGGCTGGGGTCATCTGACGTCGGTCCTCTTTCCTGCCAGGGGCAGGGGGTCAGACACAATGGTCCTTTGTGGTCCCTTCTGACCCTACAATCTATGAATATCTGAAGTCAGGAAGGAATTTTACCTCATGACCAGCTTGGTATGGACTGTCAGGGTTTTTGCTTTCCTCTGAAGCAGGGGGGTTGGCCCTCTACCTGGAACCTCTTGAGCATATAATGACATTTTATAGAAGTAGGACATTGGTTACCATGGTTCCCTTCCTTCACTCGTGGCAGATTAGGGTGTTAGGTCTATGTTGTGCGAGGGTTAAGGATAGTCTTATACAGAGTTTTGATTATGGTTGTATAGGATGGTTAGGATAGAGATAATCCCACCTCAGGCAGTGGGGTTGGACTAGTAAACCTCTGGAGGTTCTTGCCACCCCTGCTTCTCTATGACTCTACTGCACTGGTTTCAGCTGCACGCCTGCTTTCTTACATTCCTGGGCGCCCATGGAAGCAGCCCCTGACGAGTGGGGGACTCCCAGCTCCCCAGCTGCTGCTTCCAAATTTTGTGGCGGGGAAAGGTGTAGCTGTAGAGCAGGGAGTTTTTTACTCTCCAGTTCCGGATGCCACCCCATGCTGGCAGCTGGCTTTTGCACAATTGGGGTTTGAGGAATTTTATGCCTCGCTCCCAGAATTGTGCAAACTGCCATTCACATGTAGCATGGCAGGTAGCGTGTTTTGGAGAATGAGGCATAAAATTCCTCAGACTCCAATCACATGTCTGCCAGCAGCCTAGGTAACAGAAAGGACACTGCAGAGAACCCTCCCAAAGCAAAAGCAAATATGACAGGGGTACCTGTACCTAAGCCTCAGTTTCTTGTTCAATGCCTCTGCCTCATCTCGTTGACTTAATGAGCGCTTGAGCTCTTGCTCTAACACTGCCCTGCTCTCCTGAGGGATGTATTTTGTTATTATGTCACCTTTCAATTCCAGCACTCTCTTCTCTAGCTGAGCTAGGTGTCTAGAAAGAGTATCCAAGTTGAGTGATTCTTTTATACTCAGACCTGTGGAAGAAGAAAATGCCTTCCATGAGCTTTGGCTGTATAAACCCCTACAAGAAGCCCCCACCCAATGAATAGTGTAAGAATCCAAAAAGGGCTTGCACAGAAGGGCTGAACTTATCATAAGCTGTCCCAGAATCAAGGAAATCTCTCCTCTGATCTGTACTGGCCTAGCACTGAATTTAGCCCAGAGACCTCAAAATTTGCACAATAGTAGCAACTCAAAGGACATAGAGAAACATGAGGCAGAAGTGGAACTAGGCTCTGCCTCTATTTCCTGGACAAACCAGTAGAACTTGATAACAGCAGCATATATATGCTTCCCACAGAAAATTAGATTCTCTGGAAAGTGGTATGGGCCAAATTCTCTTACATCTATTAGGCATATAAGCGGACTTTGGTGCCTAATGTGATTGGATTCCACCGAGTTGCTGAAGAACCCTTAATACAAAAGGTTGGTGGGTCCTCCTCCTCGTAGCTGCTTTTAATTAGAGACTCAGTCTTAAAGACAAGATGCTACAAGGTAGATGCATTAATGGATGTTCAAGGATTTGAACAGGGTAGAACAGACTCATACTTAGATGCCCAAGTCCACTTCAACATCCAGTAAATAGAACAGGATCTGGCCCTGTTTCCAATGAAGCACAAATCCTCTTACAGCTACCACTTGGTCAAAGTGGCTGTGCATTACTCCAAGAGGTGCAGATGTCTTGCAGATTCAATGCACATAAAGTTTCTCTTTATTTGAGGACAAAGCACCATCTCAAAAGACACTCTCAGAAGAGCCGTATAGTAGATTTTACCTGGTATAGGCTTTGCAGGGTTTAATTGCTTTCTTTGTGTCAAAGCTTCTTTAGAGGGCACCTTTTTTATATCTCTTATTTTCATTATCAGATTTTGAATTTTAGCAGAATTTCTCTCAATGATCCTTATTCTGAAAAAGGAAAAGAGTCTCATTTTTTCCCCACTACTTTTGAATCCGAGACCAGGGGTAAGCAACCTCCAGCACAGGGGTCAGTGAGGCACACAAAGGCATTTTGCTTGGCACGTGCACCTCAGAGGCTATACCTCTATACCTGCATAAATGCAACCAAATGGCGCTAGCCCTTAAAATGCGAGACGTAGTAAAGCACTTTCCCAGCCTGGGAAAGTGAATAAATTATGCATCCTCCATTTCACAGGTTTCATGTTAAGGCCTCTTAATATACCATATTTACCCAAATCTAAGACTTCAAATTTAAAACAATCCCCTCCATAGTTAGTTTCTATATATGGAAAATGATTAAATTTGTAGTAATTTTTCATGTTTAGAATCTAATTATTGGAGGGTTATCTTAAATTCACCCCCCTCCCCCATTGCAGCAGGACCAGTACCACTAGTGGGACACATGGGGGGACCCCCACCCCTTCCTGCCTGTCCTCCCCCTCCCCCGATGCATGTACACTCCAATACCTGTTCCCTCCTTACAGCACCGGTATAACCCGATGCCTGCCCCCACCCACATATACCTTGCCCCTCCCCTGTACCTGGTTTCCCCTTACACGCACTGGCAGCATCAGCTGCATCTTGTGTTTTGCCCCAGCCTGGGGCAAGAAGTACAGAGCATATGCTGCCTCTGACCCCAGTGCAGGGGCAGGGAGCAGAGGCTGAGGGGTGCAGGTGGACAGGGAGAAGCAGCTATGGTTCCCACTCTAAGGGCATGTCTACACACTGCCATATGGTGCTGTTGTTATGGCGCTGTACTTTAGTGCTTCCTTTTGGAAGCACTAAAGCATGGCACAGTAACTGCCCATACTGCACCATGCGCGTGGTACATGGTTAGATTTTGCCGCTAAGGCAACATAGCTGCCTATCACATGTAGACCTATGTGATTGATACATTGTTCTAACATGACACAACATATTACTACATCACCATACAGCAACTTGCAGATGCACCCCAAGTATTCCCCTATACAGTATGCTAGAGGTGACCTTACTTATCTTCAAGCTGGAATGCTCTTTTCCTATAATTCAACAAAGTTGTAGGCTCAGATGCCAGAGCTTTTAATTTTCCATGAAGATAAAATGCACTCCTGTGGTTGTCTTTTAATGCTTCAATAAATGCATCATACTCCTGTTTGACTGATGTCAGAATGTTCTTGTATGCTGAAACATGTTCTATTATCTGTAAAAACATACGTTTGGGTGGGGGTTTTTTCCATTTGCAACGTTATATACTGAGAGAAGTAATAGCAAAACAATTCTGCAAAAATCTTCTAACCACATCACAGGCAGATTAAATAAAAATCACTGGATATAATACACACTTCACATGGTTTCACTCTGCAACGCGATGCTAGTGCACAAGAACCATAAAGTGAAACTGGCAAAGCTTGTTTTCATCGTCTGGACTGACTGAAGAGCACAAAGCAGACACTGGATACAGCAAAAACTAACCTCTATTACTCCACTGACAATGCTGAGGACTTTCTAAAAGTCTTCTTAATATGAGACAAGGAATCTAATACCCGAGTTTGATTTCCCAAGTGCTTACTAAAAATTACCATATTTACCCATATCCAAGATTACTTAAAATTTAAGATAACCCGCCACCCCTAATAATTAGATTTGAGTCACACAAAATTATAAATTGGTTATGATTTTCCATGTATAGAATAATTAGTGGAAGGTGGTCTAAATCTGTTCCCCCACAGCTGTGGCAGGAAAAGCAGCAGCAAGGGGTGAGGGGTCAGATTCTTGCCCCTTGCCTGCCTCCCCATCCTTGTCTGCGCTGCCACTTGCCCCCCGCCATGTTACCCACCTGCTGCCTGCCCCCACACTCCTTGTACCCTCCACCCCCTGGCTCCCCACCTCTTGCCCCCTGTGCACATAACTGCCTCTCCCAATCTTCCCACCTATCTCCCCCATACCTGACCCATCTCCAACCTATGCCTGCCTCCACCACCTCCTTCCCTCCCTGCACCTTTCATTGACTGCTTACCTTCTGATGCTCTGCAATCAACAGCAGTGATAGCTCTAGCCCAGCCAGGGAGAAGCAGAGGCAGCAGCTCTGGGCCTGGCCAGGCCAGGGCTGGAGCCAGAACAGAAGGAAAGGTGGGGGAGGGAGGCAGAAGGCAGGGGGGACAGGTGATGCAGTCCCCCCACTGCATAAGTCACCCCAGCTTGGAGCAGACAGCAGCTCAACTCCAGCTCCAGTTCTGGCCCTGACCCCAGGGCTCAAGCTGGAGCAGAACTGCTGCCTTTCCTGAGGCAGTAATCATACCCAAGGCAAGGCTTTTTATTCCCACCATGTCTTACATTTGAGTAAACATGGTATTAAGCTCATTAAAATGAGAGTTAGGTGGGGAAAGAATCCAACCCTCTTGAGATTTTATGAACCAGCTTTCTGTCTGCAGTAAAAATAAAATAAAAATGGCAGAGTTCAGAAAGAGAACAAATAATGGACATAAGATACTTTTTCCTCAATGCAGCCAGTTAACAGGCTACCACTACAAGGTTTGATCTTCCTTCCTTGTGTCCTTGTGACAAGTTATTTATCAGAATTTGTAGATTCATTGAAATCTGACACAGTCACACTTTTAGCACTTCTGCTACAGCCTCAAACTTTGTCAGGGTAGATTTGATGTATATAGATCAACATGGGTCTTACAAGACCAAAGGAAAGACCAACATTTATACTAAGTCTCTAAATCTATTTATCTTATGAATATATATAGTAATAATGGATTTCAGGTTAAATTAATTTAATGCATCTTAAAAACCACTAAAACATAAGTGTCAGGACAAAGTGTCAGCTAGTTTTAAAAGCACCTGCTTAGTGCATAGCTGCGTTACAGAGAACTCTGTACATTCTGCTTATCTGGGGAGAAAGATATTCAATACAAAACCATAAGGAAATTAGCATGAAGACAAAAAAAGAGTCTTTAAAGATAAGAAGTAAGACCCCTAATGGAAAAAATGTTAAAACACAGACACATTTTGTGAGGCTGCAAAGAAATTAATCATCTTCCAGGTCTTGAGATAGGAGGCAATACGCTGGGTATGAAAGCAGCCTATCCACACTGGCACCAAAAAATTGTTTCTGTGAGTGTCATTATCCCAGAATACTCCAGTGACATGTCATTCCAGTGCTTTGTAAAATGATCCTTTATAATGTATTAAGAATATTATATCCATTGTTGTAATGTCTGATTTCAGACACTATTACTGAAACTCAGGGCAATTTTCTTTCGATTTCCTGGCACAAAAGGGGTTTGTCAATTGTGCAGCAAATCTGCGATGCAGGGAAAAATCATCTTTTAAGTCAATGAGCCCATCCTCCTGTAAAATGTAAACTGCAGAGTCCTAGTAAGGGGCTCAGAAATTAAACACTAAACTTTGGGATTTAAAAGCCAAGAAAACATCAGTATCTAAGAGCAGCCATGCTAGCAACACAGAATGTTCACCTTAAATCATGTTGTATGGTTCACAAATTAGGTTGTTTTTTTTTAAATCACACTTTACTTTTTCTATAGATACTTTGCAGCTAAGATTTTGGGAACCTCTGACCTTCCCCTCAAAAGGAAAAAAAGCAAACACTTTTCAAATGATCTTCCTTTCCCTCAATGCATGACTGAGTTAGAAATCCTGAGAAATAACATTTTGCTCACATCAGAAATATTTACACACAGAAGTCTATTCTAAGGTGCACTCCTGTCTAACTCACCAGGTACTTTGTCACCAACTAAAACAGAAATATGCAGGCAAGTGACTCTGCATCTCTTGCTGCTAAGCACCTGTCTGCACCATCCCCAAACCACGTTCAGGAGTGTCAGACTCATTACGAAGCACAACCCATTCAACATGCACCAACTCCTGAAAATGAGGTGACGAAGCTGCCTTAGAGCAGCCCTGAGCCCCTGCCTAGAGATGCCCTTTGGCCCCATCTCAGACATGCTTCTTAGCATACCTGAGGGCTGCTCTCAGACTAAGCTACCTCTTTGAAGGGAGTTGGTGCTTGCAGACTATGGCATATATCATGTCAGTGCTCTTAAACACAGCATGGAGGCAATGTGGACAAAACCCAAACACTGTAAAGGAGTAGCTGCTTCCCTGTTTCAGAAACGCCAAATGTCATGATCAGCTCCTGTTACCAGTCAAGAAGTGCTCAGTGCAAGCAGAGGCAAAGATGTGCAACTGTGATATGAATCCTAAAGCCCCAAGTGGCTGTCCTAAATGCAAAGACAGGAGCGGCAAAAAAAGCGCTCTGTTGGCTCAACATTCCTAAAATATCTCCTTACGCTACAGTGTGTGCATGACTCTCGTCTGGGCAGCCTGGGAATGACAGAGCAGCGCCAAGATGTCCTAAACAGCAGGAAAGCTATCCCTATGTATCTCTGGAAACTGGTCTGCCCTTTTCTCTCCCAGAGCTGGTCTGTCTGGGTCAGAGATGAGATAAAACATACTGGTGAGGCTACCCTGCTGCTTCAAATCCTGTGCCTGAATGGAGGAACTGAATTTCTAGGGCTGTCAAGCCAGTCCCTTTAAACTGCTGAAGTTTCATAATTAAAAAAAGCCCACCAGTCTGTAAGATAACCCTGCTGGCTGCTCATTTGCACAGAAAATGTTTTCCTCCCATGCTTTGTTACCTTGTCAAACACATGTCGGTATATAATGTAATACTCCTCAACTGGCCCTTGCTCGGTACAGCCCACTTTTTCAACTTCTGTAAGGATGTAGCTTTGTATGCTGTCCAGAAATGTCTGATCACTCCTTGAGGGGATGGGAGGGAGGATGGGATGCCCCCTCCCTCTGATGCTACAGGAAGACATTGCGGACAAATGACTCAGGCATTTCTTTTGGCCAGTTAAGCCTGCTGTTGCCTCCTCTTCAATTAAAATTAACACTTTGGTCAAAGCCTGCAAGAGAAGGTGAGACCGTTAGACCAACATAGCGCAAAGGAGGCAGGGGCTTGAATCCAGGAGCACTGACGTCCCCAATCGAGCACAAAACGTTTGGGTCCTCCACAAACAGCCCCTCTGACTCAAGGTCCAACTGCTTTGCCACAGAGACAGGAAGAGACCTCGTCTAAAACAGGGACGGCCAAGTGGCCCCGGCAGCCTCTGCACGTGGTGGGTGGTAGGAAGGAAGGAAAGGAGGACAGAAAGCAGAGCAAGAGATAAGCGGAGAACTCAGGACAGGCAACAGAACGCAGAGCAGCCGATAACGGGAAGCGCAAGGCGGACAGCTGGACGCCAAACCATCGATTCCCACGAAGTCCCACCCCCCACTCAGATGCCAAGGGCGTCCCCCCTGTATGCGGCTGCCGCCAAGCCCCTCCTCCTACCGGGGCGGAGCTGCGTGTCTCCATAGCAACGAGCAGCAGAGACGCCCCACCCCCGCTTCCGGCCGCAGGACCGCGCCTCTTGCCCCGCCCCTACCAGTCACCCCGCAGCGAGAGGCCTGCCCTCACCACCGCGTGCGCGGCAGTTGGGGAGCGCGGGGTGCATTGTGGGAGAGGGCAGTCCCGAACGCGCGGCGCGCGACCACCGCTACCAGCAGCCTTCGCGGCCCGCGCGCCCCAACCGCCCGGCCACGCGCCGCGCTGCATGTCGGGAGCTGTAGTCTCCCGCGCGCGCATGCGCAACCTTTCCCAGCCGGGCAGGGAAACCCCGTGCAGGCCGAGCGCGTCCCTTTCCCCCGGCGCCGCCATTTGAGCAGCAGCAGCTTCGGACCCCTTTCCGCCGCCGCCATGCAGATCTTCGTGAAGACGCTGACGGGGAAAACCATCACCCTCGAGGTGCGGGGCCAGGCCCGGGCGGGCAGGCGCCACGTGGGTGGGTAGGCGGGCGGGCGGCGGGGCCCCTGGGGCGTCCCACGTGTGCTCGGTGACCCATGTGCCACCGTGTCCTCGCGCAGGTGGAGCCGTCGGACACGATCGAGAACGTGAAGGCCAAGATTCAGGACAAGGAAGGCAAGTAGGGCCGGGCGGGCGGGCCGGGTCCCCGCTGCAGGCGGACCTGATCCCGCTCAGCGCCACCGACAACTCTCGCTCTTCCAGGTATCCCCCCGGACCAGCAGCGACTCATCTTTGCGGGCAAGCAGCTGGAAGATGGCCGCACTCTGTCCGACTACAACATCCAGAAGGTGGGTCTGGCAGAGGGGAAGAGCCCAGGGGCAAGGAGTCGGAAAGAGGCGGGTGCGGGTGGGATGTGCTCCCGGGGCTTGCTGGTCTGCCTAGTGAGAGGCGTAAATACATTGGAGTGGTGGCAGAGCCTCTTCCACTGAGCTCCCCCGCAGCAGATGTCTGCTCTGTGCTTCTGTTCGCAAGTGAAACAATGCACCGGAGATGCGGTTACAGGAGGACTAATGGGACCAGGTCTCCGGAGCATGATCAGCATCACACTTGATCTCTGACTGTAAAAGCACCAGCCCTTGGGATCTAGCACTTGGAACATGCTAGCAACTTCAATGCATTCGTAGTAAAAACTGCTTGAACGGGGCTGGTTTGACCTCAGCTCACTCCCTGACTGCCACTCCTTATAATCCCTCTGGCTCTGCCTGTGAACCCTGGTTTGAACTAAGGGGCTTGCCCTATGATTACAGGCACCAGTAACAACCCCAGGCTCTGTTCATTAGGCCTAACTACTATGTGGACCCTGATGGGCAGTTTCTTCTGGCTAGTGTAGGTGCCTGCCTACAGCATGCTTTTCTTAAGTGCCTATAATTTTCCAAGTGCAAAATTAAGAAAGCCTCATCACCAAATAAGAACCATGGATTCTGTAACTGCACATCCAGCATGTGTGGGAGCCTCTTTTTCTCACCTGGTAATATCTTTATCAATAGGAATCCACTCTTCACCTTGTGCTGAGACTCCGGGGTGGTGCTAAGAAGAGAAAGAAGAAGTCTTACACCACTCCCAAGAAGAACAAGCACAAGAGAAAGAAGGTTAAGCTTGCTGTGCTCAAATACTACAAGGTAAGGATAACGAATTCAAGTAGAACTGATGTGTGAATTTGATTCTTTGCTAAGAGTAAGGGATCTGAGATCCAGTTGGGCACTTGCTGCAATTCTTATTTCAAAGGGCTTGCTGCTTCTCTGGCGAGCTGTGTGGGAGGTACCCTTTGAAGTAAAAAGTTGCAGCAAACTGCTGAGTAGGTTGTCCTTAATTTGTCCTTAACTTGCTATGAGTTGAAAAGTGGGGTGTGAACCATCTACATAAGAATTACTTGGGTCCTACTGAGAGGTAGTTAGCTAGCTACCTTCTGCAGAAGGAAGGGTGGGATGGCACTTTATAGAAACTAATAGCTTCAGAGAAACCCAACTCATCAAATGCAAATACCCGCTACCCTAATCCTAGTCCTATGTATGTTAAAAGGAAGCAGGGGTTTTTTCCTACAGAAGTAGAGCCTCTCTGTACCAGTTAATCTCTGTGCTCCCCTGCCCTACCTTCTGCCTAGTTTCTACTGTATTGCAGTGTCTACAATAAACATTGCATATCCCTTAATGTGCATTTATGGAGTCCTCAGCTTGAAGTCTTCAAGTAACTGACTTTTATGTATAGGCAACTGAACAGGGAGCTTGAAAAAGCAGTGAATTTCCTCTAAGTCCATTGTAAGTTCTGGCATACTTTATAAACTTCTGTCTATTCAGAAGTATAGTTTCTTAAAATGAAGGGAAACTGGGCTGGTGCAAGTAGCTGTTTTGGTTTGCAAAATTAGTAAAGAACCTCAGATGAAAGCATTACCCAGGATGAATCCAATATATAATGGATTGAGTTCTACAACTATACAGTGTTCCAGTTTGTGCTAAATAGGGACAAAAGCAAAAAGGAGGTGTACATAGTGAGATGTTACTTACGGAGCTACTCCTTCTTTCAGGTGGATGAGAACGGTAAAATCAGTCGCCTGCGTCGAGAATGCCCCTCTGAGGAGTGTGGGGCTGGAGTCTTCATGGCGAGCCACTTTGACAGACATTACTGTGGCAAATGCTGTCTGACATACTGCTTCAATAAACCAGAAGACAAGTAAATGCATCTTATAACAATAAAAACTCAAGTTGTATGATATTTAGGATTCATTTTTTTTCTTTCCTTGCAATATATGTAGCACTGCCTTTATTTAGGAGCAATTTGAGTCTAAAACATCAGGGAATGTGAATGCTCTGTTTGCTTAACAATGAGCTAATGGTGTTACATATGCCTAAGAAGTTTTCTAACTGGATTTAGTGATGTCATCACTTTCTTCATCTTGAATGTAGGGAACAGAACTAAATTATATGATTTTTACTGATGAAAATGGTTTTTAAATTGCATTCTTGTGCTGTTTCTAAAATCACGTGATAGAACAGCTTTAATAAAATGGACACCGCGGATGTTTGCACAGCTGATTACATCTGTGTTTGTCACCTTTAATATCCTATTAATTGTTGCTTTCTATATATATATATTAACCTGAGAAATACATAACTAGGGATCTGGGTTTTCCCGGATTAAAAACCCCAAAGCATGTGATTAAAATGAAAGGCTCCTCACTCATCTCAGACCTGCTGGAAATGGCCCCTGGCTGCCAGGGCTATGGGGCCAGGGACCCTGGTCTGCAGGAGGGGGCAGTTGCTGTAACAGAGCAAAGCATGGAGCCTACCCCTTTCCTCCCTGCCCCCCCCAGCACCTGCTGCCTGCCTGTGGGGGGGAGTGGCTCTCCCCTGCTGTGTACACTCCCAGGCTGTGTATGAGGGGAGGGGGCAGGTGTGGGCTCCTTCCCTGTTGCTTTCCCTTGGGGCCTCCTGGCCCCACCCCCCACTGCTCCCTGGGTGAGCTACCTGCAGCCTTGTCTGACTCCTGGCCAGGGCCCTGCAACCACACATTGCAGCACTGGGCCCCCAACCCCATATAGTGCCCAGCTGGGCAGCAGCTGCAGCCCTGCCTAACTCCCTCTGAGGCCTCGATCCCCACACCACAGTTTACCTACAGCAACTTCTCTCCAAGCTGCCTGGTAGCCATGTGCATAGACATGAACACAGCACCCCCTGCCTGGCTTCCCTCCTTCCACTCCCTCCCCACCAATTCCCTGCAGGCTGGAACTCTGCCAGTCTGCAGAGTTCTGCAAAACTGCAAAATCCATGGGTTTCTCTGATAAAATGAGAAATCAGTGTTTTCCTCTGGTAAGGGGGAAAATCTAGTTTTCTCTGTTTTTCCATGGCAAATGGAAAACCTGGACCCCTGTATATGATTCAGGACTTGTAAAGGAATGGTTGCTTAAAAATGTAATTTAAAATGTAGAAACTTGTATGTATCATAAGACTTATTACAAACTCCTACACTTAATTTCAATCCGATTGTGTGGCTACTAGGAAACTTCTTACGGCTTCTATCACCATGATACCTGGAACAAGGTTGAAGTGCTGTAACTGATCTAGGACAGGTGGGCAAAATATGGCTTGTGGGCTGGAATCAGCCTAACAGGTCATTCTATCTGGCCTGTGGGGGCCCTAAAAAATTTAGTAAATTAATATTTATTTGATCCTAGCTACCTATCAAAGATGGCAGGACCCAGGGGGAGCTGGCAGCAGGAGCCCAGCCCTGCCCTACCCCCAGCCATTTCTGTGCTTCCTGTTCCCGCTCTATTCCAGCACCACCTGGCTCCCAGCTGCATGGCTAAACTGGGGAGCACAGGGACCTGATGGTACTGGGGGAGAGGGGTGTGGCGATTCCCACACGCATACCACACTATATATCTACACCCATCAGTCACATCTGACACCTACAGAGATAATGGCCCTTTACCACAAACCCCATACCTACCCACACCCCATGGAGCATGTGGGTATGTGTGTGGATACCTCACCCTGTACACCCATAGCCCCCCCCCAAACATACCTACCCCTTCACTGTCCCAAAGGACAGCACTGCCTAAGCCAAGTAAAACTATTTCTGGGATAACTGCAATGTTCCATTCTACAGAAAAACCAAATATTTAAACAGGGACTAGACTATTGTTTAAATGAGAACCTTAATGTATTGTAACGTTTTTCCAGGAATATGATTCCCCTACCCCTCCCTTATGAAGCTAATAATCCATTTCCTTCTGAAAATGAGACAGAAGTTGCTTGTAAATGCATTTTCCCAGAAGGGTGCCACAGCTGGGTCAGGATTTGTTGGTCCTAGATGTCATGACCCAAAGGCATGATTTTGTGTACGCTTCGGCACCAGAGTTATCCCCACCAAGTTGCAGCTTCATTGCACGGGAGAGTTTCCTGTTGCAGAGGAAAACCCCGGTGCAGGGACGAGTTTCCCGCTCTTTTTTGCAGCTTCTTTTGCAGGGTGCATTGCTCATGTTGCAAGAGGAATGCACGGTGCAAAAGAGTTCCTGCCACCGGTATGCAAATTTGTCCCCCGCTATTGGCTAGTTTTAAATTATTCGCACGTGGCAGCTAACGATTGGCTTGTTAGCCGTATAAGAGGCTTGAGCGGTTTCCGCCCAAGCCAAAGAGGA